AAAAAAAAAAAAAAAAAAAAAAAAGAACAACTACAAATCAATAAGAAAGACTAATAACTCAACTGAAAAATAAGCAAAACACATGAAGAGGCGCTTAGTAAAAGAAAACTTGAATGGCCAGTAAACTCAATCTGCGTAGTAATCAGGGACATGCAAATTAAAACCACAATAAAATCCCATTTGCCATTTACTGCATAAGTGCATTTTTAAAGGTCTGCCAGTAACACAAGTTGGCAGGAGTAGGAACTCTCGGCTCCGAGCCTGCTGGTGGGATGTAAGTCAGTACAGTCGCCCTGGATACAGTTTAGTTTCGCCTAGTAAACCGACCATGAGCATATTCCACGACCCAGCAGACCCCTACCCACAACTCACACTCAAGGAGGGCGAGATTAAAAGACGGGAGGACAACAAAGTGTCAAACTGACTACAGTGGAGCTGTTTTAAATGGAGTCAGAGCTGCTTTTCCAGAGAAACCACCTGCTGTTTGGAACCCTGGACTGGGCCAAACCTTTGGCCTGGGCCACAACAACAACTGTTTTACATGCAATTGTTGGTGAAGTCAGCAGGAGAATGGACGTCCTGGTCACAAAGACTGAGGACATGGACTTTCTGAAGATAGAATCAATGGTCAATGTTTGGTCAAGACTAGCTCTCTGCCTCCAATTAACATTCTTTGTCATACAACCTCACTCCTTTGCCTTTAAAGGCCTGACTTTTACTCCCCAGTGGGACACTATTTGGGTTTCTACCTGAATCTGTGCTCCCCGGAACTGCAATTCTTTGATCCCAAATAAACGCTTTGCCTCTTAAACTGGTTTCTGTTTTTGCAGGCTGACAGAAGAAATGAGAGAAAAAACTCTTTGCTTACAGTTGCTTCCATCTTCCCACAAAGAGAAGGGTCAGACATCTAAAGGTCACTAAAAACATCAGAAGCTCTCCCAGCTAGGAAAGTGAGTTCCTTCTCAGAAAACAAGAAGGTTAAAGATACGGTTCGGCTTCCGGTCCTTCCTTCGGGGGCACCAGCCGCTGCTTCCAGGCAGGTCCCCTTCCAGGCGTCTCACAGGTGCTCGTGTGTCCTCTGCAGCCCCAGGGGGGCGGACGCCGTGGGCACTCACCTCTTATGCTTCATAATGAGCCCAATGGAGTAGCAGACGTCTCTGTGCTTCTCGTGGGACCGGAGCTTCACCTCCACGCCCACCTCCTCCTTCTTGCGCTCAATGTGCTCTAACGTATGCTGCACCAGATAGCCCACCGCCCCGTGCTGCCCGGGGTCGAGGGTCTGGATGTGCTGGAGGATGTCAAGCACCTTCAAGACAAGACAGAAAGACTAGGAGATAATATTTTCATTTAGGCCTTTTCTTTTTCACGGCGCGGGATTTAGACCTACATAACCTGAAAAGGGTGGCAAGGCGGGGCGTGCTGATGGCCCAGGTCCCTGTGACCGATTGGCTCTCTCACCCAGTCAGCGCTACGTATGACGCCCAGAGTTGGTTGGCGTACTCACTTTTAATACTGGGAACAGGCCCCAGACACCCAAATGCAGCCAGCGTGAACGTGAGGCATTACTCAGAAACACGGTGGACTGGAAGAAGCATGAGGTCAGGAGGCAAGGGTCTGCCTTCTGCGGGCACGTTTGGATTAGGTGAACTCTAAAAGGTTCCAACATTCTTGGTCAGTGTGGGGGTTCAATTTTTTATACAGAGAAAGAAAAGAATTTTGGGAATGCAAACTGGTGTAGCCTCTATGGAAAACAGTATGGAGATTCCTCAAAAAATTAAAAATAGAAATACCTTATGATCCAGCTATCCCACTACTGGGTATCTACCCAATGAACCTGAAATCAACAATCCAAAGAGGCTTATGCTCCCCTATGTTCATCGCAGCATTATTCACTATAGCCAAGAAGTGGAAGTAACCCAAGCGTCCCTCGCCTGATGAATGGATAAAGAAGATGTGGTATATATATACCATGGAATACTACTCAGCCATAAAAAAGACAAAATAGTCCCATTTGCAACAACATGGATGGACCTGGAGGGTATTATGTTAAGTGAAATAAGCCAGAAAGAGAAAGACAAACAGTGCATGATTTCACTCATATGTGGAAGATAAACCAACACACGGACAGACAGAACTGTTTGGTGGTTACCAGGGGCTAGGGGGGTGGCGGGTGGGCACAAGGCGTGGAGGGATACACTTACATGGTGACTGATAAACAATAATGTACAACAAAAATTTCACAATTAAAAAAAAAAAAAAAGAAAGAAAGGAAAGAAGTTTAACCTGCCACTCATGAATTGGAGGAAAAATAAATGCTAAGCTGCTTCAATCAAGACCAAGAGGATAGGACCGGCCCCGTGACTTAGCGGTTAAGTGTGCACGCTCCGCTGCTGGCGGCCCGGGTTCGGATCCCGGGCGCGCACCGACGCACTGCTTCTCTGGCCATGTTGAGGCCGCGTCCCACCGGCAACTAGAAGGATGTGCAACTATGACATACAACTATCTACTGGGGCTTTGGGGGGAAAATAAATAAATAAAATCTTAAAAAAAAAAAAAACACCAAGAGGATGTCTGAGAAAGCTGCCTCAGTGCTGCCTAAGATGGAAGGGGTCACAGACAGGCCACTGAAGCGATGCAAATTAGCTCAGGTACGACGTTATACTTGAAGAACCAAGACGTGTGCATCAGGGTTCTGAAATCCCACTGGTCGTTTCAACAATTTTAACTCACAGTGGAATTCAGTAATCCACTGGGCAGGCAGAAACCACACCTCTGTGGAATTTAAATGACCAGGTGGTAGCAGCAGAACTGCCTGACTCCCGACTCCAGGGTTACATTCTTTCTACTGTACCTGGTGCCTCTGCGGGAAAATACAAATTCAAATAAAGTTAAAACACACATACAACATTCTCTGGCACCCCTTACATTACAGCGTTTAGCAGCATTCTGACAGGCTTCTCCTTTGGAAACAGGATCGCCTCCTATTTACTGACTCCTAAGACAGAGCAACCTGGATTCTAGTCCCAGATCTATCAAACTAGCTGTTTTTACCTTCGGATTAGTTTATTCAATTATCAAATGATGATTAATAACTGCCCTACTTCCTGATATATTTTGACCCAGTAAAAGTGTTGTGAAAACTAGTTTTATGCAATGTAAGATATTATTATTCCCAAACCCAATCTTGTCTTCCAGGCTGAGATCTGCAGGATCTCAATATTTACTGAGCACTTATTCTCCACTGGTCACTGTGGCAAGCCTGTCACATTTTTAAATTTCATTTAATCCTCCCAACTTGAAGGCCAGCAGTACAGTCACTGCCAATCTCCAGAGAAGGAAGCCGGCTTGGTGAAGGTAAGTCACTTGCCTGAGGTCACAGGGTTATGAAGATGTGGAGAGAAGATGTGGACCTGGGGCCAACTCTAAACCCCAGGTGTCACTCACCGTCACACCAAACCAAGAGGAGGAGTATTTTAATTAACTGTTATGAAAAATGTCAAACACATAAAAATGGACAGAATGGTATAACCCCAAGTGCCCCAAACCCAGCTTCAATCAATATCAGCTGAGAGCCAGGCCCCATCCACTTCCCACCTCCAGGAGTGTAACTGTAGTTTGGGGGACACTAACAGCATTTATTCTCTGTAGGTAACAGCATCAGATTTAACAGTAAGCTTCCACTTACTATGCTTGTGTAATGGCTTTCCTTGTGTTCCCCTCTGTAGCTCCAATTAGCTACTTTTTACCACACTTCCACTACATTCTACAGACACAGCTTCCCCTCCTTTCCTAGCAGCCCCTCCCCAGCAGGGAAGTGAAACAGACATAACCTGGAATCTTCAAAGCTCAAAGGAAGTCTTGAACTCAGAGTAGCAGAGGAGGAGATGTGGTTCAGGGATAATTACCCCCTCCTTCCCTTGATGTGTGGGTGACAGGTGAAGAGAGAGGGCAGAAACGGATAAGATACAGCGATATGGGGTCTGGTGTGTTCCTGGAGCAGTGCCGACAGCTGGCACCATGTCTCCACCAACGTCTAGGCCTAGAATCCCAGAGTCCACAACTCTTGGGGTAAAGATCTTTGAACAGGGGGTCTATCACTTACAACTGGCAAATGTTTCCTGTAAAGGGCCAGCGTGAATATTTTAGGCTTTGGGGACTCAACTGCTCACCTCTGCCGCTGCAGCTGGAAGCAGCCAGGGAGAACAAGCAGACAAATGAGCACGGCTGTGTGCCCATAAAGCTTATGCACAAAACCAGGCAGCTTTGGGCCCACGGGCCGTCATTTGCTAGCCCTGCTCTGCCCACTAAGTGCAGGTTTCCCCTGAGGATCTCTCTCAGTTCGTGGCTCCATCCTCAGGGTCTGCTTGTCTGTGGGCTCTGCTACTTTTGGGGCTTTGGCTACCAGGTGCTAGTGCTGGCAGCCCCTGCCCGGTGCTCCAGGACAGCGGCACTCGACGGCTCCAGGTCCTATCAAAGTCAACACACCCCAAACCGAACACTTGCTCCACCCCCAAGACAGGTCTGTTCTTCAAATACCCCCTCTGTAAGTGGCCACACAGTCACCTTTGTTGGGAAATCTGGATACCCTCTTTGAGCCTTCTCCTTCACTCATATCTAATGAAGTTCTGTCGTTTCTTAATCATTCATTCAAAAAAACTTTTAAGCAGCTACTGTGGCAGGAACTGTGCTGAGAGTAGGGGGACCAGCCACAGTGAAGAATGAAAGAGACGTGGCCCTGTCCTTAAAGAGCACGGTCCAGCGGAGAGGACGAGGGAACGCACAGCTACAGCACACTCAGACTGAGTTCTGTGAAAGGGCGAGCACAGGGCTGGCACGAGGGGAGAGCCTGACCTCAGGCCGGGGGCCAGAGAAAGGGTTTCAGAGGCAACGTTGGAGCTGAGGCTCGGCAGAAGTTAGCGGGCAGATGGAGTCGAGGGACAGGGAGAGGGGTTCTAGGCAGAGACGCAGCACGTGCAGAGGACTGACGCGAGAGAGCAGGGGTGAAGGGGGACGTGGCCGCGGCGGCGCAGAGTACAAGGAGGCTCAGGCCGGCAGGGCCAGGCCACCAAGAACCTGGTGTTCACACTGGAGAGAATGAGGCTGATCTTCAAGGCAATGGGGGAGCCACTCAAGAGGGTTCTGAGCAGTGAAGGGACACAATTGACCTTCTATTACTCTGGCTACAGTGTGTAAGACGGGTTCAAAGAGCAGAGGGAAGGAGAGCACGCAAGAGGCCTCTGCAATCATCTAGGAGTCAGCCATGCACAGACGTGCACTGCATCTGGACAGGGTGGTCTGGAGCCCAGAGTCCAGGCAGGAGACCAAAGATTCAGGAGTTGTCAGCTACAGATGGTAACTGAAGCAAGGAGACTGCGTGAGATCACCCGGGGGGAAGGTGCAGAGTAAAAAGAAGTCCAGAAAGTACTACACAGTGTGGAGCCTTTAAGGGAGAGACAGAGGGCAGCAACTAGCAAGAGCCTGGGAACCAGGGGCCACCGAGCCAAAGGACCGGAGTGTACTGGGTGGGGAGTGGCCCCAGCGATCAAGATAAGGAAGACAAGTATCTACGGGATTTGGAACACGGAGGATGATTTAGCAAAACGGGGTCATTGGCTTCCTAGGCAAGAGCAGCTCCGTGGAGGAGGGGAGGGAACGGGTCCCTGTGTTCTGAGGAGTGTGTGGGAGGCGAGGCAGGTGGCCGTCACACAGTGCGGTCACACGCATGGCCAGCGAGCAAGGATCTTAGCCGTGCAGGGGAGGAGAGATAAGGAGGCAGCCGCGGGAAAATGCCAGCAGGGCTGTCCTGGGAGTGCTTGTTGTTTTTTTTCCCCCAAGATAGGAGAGAGCTGAGAATGTTGAATGCTGACGGCAGGCAGCAAGAGGAAGCTGAAGATGGAGGAGGAGAAATAAAGGAAAGCAGTGGTCCAAGGAAAGGCAGGAGAGTGGGATCCGAGCACAGCGGGGTTTCTGCCTTGGAAAACTGGAGGGACATCTTCTCCACTGAAATGCAGACAAAGAGGGAAGGGATAACTATGCTCAAAAGGACGGAGGTCTGGCCGCAGGAAGGAGAAAGTGCTCGTCCGCTGGCTTTCTCTGAAGCAATCCTGCCTTAGCCCACTGTCCCACGCGGGTAAGGCACGTGAGTGGGCTTGGACACCAAACTCCTGTGCGGGTGACCTCGGCAAATCACTTAACTTCTTGGTGCTGCCTCAGTTTCACTGTTTGTAAAATGGCAACAAAACAGCATCCACCCCACAAGGCTGGAATGAGGTGTTCAGTAAGTGTTAGCAACTTTTTAAAATTTGCCTATCCTACACTCTTTCCGTCACAGCCACAACAACCCTGGATTACTGCAACAGTGACCAAGTGGACTTGTATTTCTCAGCTTTTCCTGATTTAATTCTATTGAAAACAAGGTAACCTTCCGGTCTTCCCAGTTTGGGAATGCTTCCCTTTACCTAATCAAGTCAAACAGATTCCAAGCCCTCCACACTGATCTCACGCTCGAAAAAAGTGTATACACGCACCCACTTGTACCTATGCATGTGTACATGTATAGAAACCCTTGTTAGGCTGACCTCCTCTGCAGACACCAAGCTCTGCCACCCTTGTGCCATGCGCAGGCTGTAACTGCAGTGACCTACTTTTCTGCCCTCTCAAGGTGTTTCCCATCCTTCGAGGTCCCCTTTGAATCCTTCCTTGGGAGAGGAACCTTTTCCACTTGCTGCAGCACCCCCTGGATTCATCCCCAGTGGGAGGCCCCAGTTTTCCTTCACCGTCTTGGGTGTCGTCTCCCTAGATGGAGTCTATGTTTGTTGAGGGGAGTGCCCGAAGCACTGAGGGTGAGCCACTTTTCATTCCTGATCTCCGAGTGAGGGGTGGGTCGAGGTGCTCGACCCCAGCAGCAAATGAATAGCTGTCGTGAGGAATAATGTCCTGCATGTAACAATCCTGGAACTTGTTTCAGTGACATTTGCTGGGCAGAAAGGCAAACTTGACCATCTAAGGAGGATACAAAGGTAATTCCACAGGAGGCAGGGTTAAAGTGTGGGCACTAGACCAAGTTAAGTCCTCGAAGGCAAGGACACCAGAGCGCCTGCAGACCTTCCCCCCAAGGGGATGTTAGCCTCCCCCCTTCTAAGGCTGGCGTGTAATGTAAGTATAGAATTTACTTATAAAGTACTGTGCTTTGAAAGGATCTCTGCATTTTACAAGTTATCACAACATTCCTTAACTAATCTAAAGTAAAAAGTGACAAGAATTAGTTATGTATATCATAGTATTAAAAACACAGTGAAAGAATAAAAATAAACTATTAAATTCTGGACAACAGGGTCCTGGGAAGCAGTGGTAACTTCAGCAGAGAGTCTAGTTTTCCAGCAACTCTTCTACCAGATCACACAGATGTTCTGGGAGGACATCTGTTACCTGGGCTACAGGTGACACCCTAAGATAGGAGCCTGGGGATTTTCTTGCTGATGTGTCCTTTCTCAGAACTATTGTGGATCTTTGAGGTTGTGAATCAATGAGACTGTTTACATCTAAGCAATGTCATTTACACTATTTACTTTATCAGGGAAGATGTTATCACTCTCACAATACAGGCGGTTGATTTCACGGTGATGTCGCTGTGAGACCTCAGAATTCAATTCTCTCACCAGGCTGTTCTAAACACACAAAATGGTTATTAACATCTTCCCATGGAAAAGTAAGTGCATGACGGAACCGCGCCACTGCTCCTGCACGTGACACAGCACTGGACTTGCACACCTGCCGCACCCACGGCTCGCTGAGGAGCAGCTCTGACCTCAAACACGGCAGCCTTCTGAACGTGCCTGCTGCAGGCCACAGGGGCGCTGAGGAATGCAAGTGGAACAGCACCAAATCCAACAGTTCTCAGAGACGTAACCAGTCCTTAACTGGTCCAGCAGCTGGACCCGAACACCCCTAAGACTTAACTTTCCCATGTCAAGCAGAGGTATTTAGGTATGGTCAACGGAGTCACTAACAGCATAGCTGCAGGGTGACCATTTAAAGTTCTGCTTCCCCCTGCTGAGTCAGGGTGACGTGGGGAAAGCACACCCTTGGGGCACCAGTGGGTGAGTGGTGGCATAGGCCTTCTTGTTCTGGGAGTTTAAGGCGCTGACCACAAAGAGAACTCTTCGGCAATATAACCCATTTTTTATTAGAATAAAGGAGACAAAAAAATATCATTGATGGGTCGAGATAGGGAGACTCCGAATAAATTTGTGTTTATCCCCCATGTTAATACAAGGATAAACTTGTAAGAGCCGCCTTTCAAGCTGGGATTTCCCTCTCTAAGGCAAGTGCAAAGCATCAAAGTAAAATAATTACCTTCTCTGGCCAGATTCCCAGGTGGAAGTAGAGCCGGGCTTGAAGGAGGAGAAGCTGCACCTGGTCCGGGTACATTGCCAGGTACAGGTCCAACGAGTCCCTCAGGAGCTGGTACGACTGGTCGATGCCTTCCCTAGGAGGGGTGAGAAATCTGTGTCTTACCCTGCCTGTTTCTGAGCTAAGACCCTCTTGTTCAAGGCCCAGGTTTTAAAAGTAACTGAGACAAATCCCATACGTTTTCTGATTCTGATACTTCCTCTCTGTTCAGCTAATAGTTACAACGCTCTCTTTTTTTTGGTGAGGAAGATTGTCCCTGAGCTAACATCTATGCCAATCTTCCTCTATTTTTCGTATGTGGGATGCCGCCAGAGCGTGGCTTGATGAGTGGTATGTAGGTCCACGCCAGGGATCTGAACCCACGAACCCTGGGCCACCGGAGCAGAGTGCGCGAATCTGACCACTATGCCACCAGGCTAGACCCCTACAATGCTCTTAATAAAAAAAAAAATACACAGGAAATATAAATTTTGTACCCCACTTTGGTGATGGGCACTAAATTAAAATCCTAAGTGTATTCATTATGTAGTCACCTCAATAACACTGGACATAATTAAAAATGAATTCTGAATAGGTGGAGCACAGAGGACTTTTCGGGCAGGGAAGCTGTTCTATGTGTTACTGTAATGGTGGATACATGTCATTATATATTTGTCAAAGCCCAAAGAATGTACAACACCAAGAGTGAACCCGAACGTGCACCGTGGACTCTGAGTGACAATGACATGTGAATGTAGGTTCTCCAACCGTAACACATGTACCCTTTGGTGGGGGATGGTGATGATGGGGAAGGCTGTGCAGGTGTTGGGGGGCAGGGGTAAATGGCAACTCTGTACTTTCTGCTCAGTTTTGCTGTGAACCTAAAACTATTCTAAAAAATAAAGTCTATTAAACAAAAAGAATTCTGCTACTAGGCAGAAAACTATTAACAATGTACAACTTTCTATTTTCCCTGTAAGACAAATTTCCTTGGACTCAGAAGCAAGAGTTTCATACTTTTACATGTTTTCTTATCGAAGTGATAGAAAGGTAAAAATTAAAAGATGACTAAGCACTTGGACATGAGACTAGCCTGCCCCCGAAAAATAATCTGTGCCAGACTCAGATATTCTTGTTACAGAAGAATGCTTTCAGTATTTATAAGCAGGACTTGTCCACGTCCACTGCAAAGATATCACAGAAAAGTCACTCAGCACATCTTAAATCTGGATAGCACTGTGTCATGGGAACCATTTTCCTCCGTGGTGGGCAGACAGTGTAGACACCCCACCTGTGCCACATAGCATCCAGTGCTCTGCTGTATCCCAGGGAGGCTCATTACATACAAGGCTCTGTAAGGCCATCTGAGCCTCCCAAGACATGCCCTCGCACAAGTACTGGAAAACCAAGGAAACCTTACCGCTTTCCCAGGCTTAAAAGGTTTCCCACCATTCGCTGTAACACCTTCTTTACGTTGACCACCCCATATAGCGCTGCGGTCACATGCTGGCCGATCAAGTATTCACATTCTTTCACTGTCAGCTGCTTGCCTTTCCCAAAGGCATCTATGTAGATGTAGTCAAAGATGTCCAGAGTCGCCCTAGCCAAAGAGCACGTGTAGTCAGCCAAATCTCAGATTAGAGCCGAACAAGTCAATCTTTAAAACCCCCGATAAGTAGCTCAAATCAGAGACTAAATGTTAACACAGTAGCATTTCTACTTAAAATATCAAGGTCTTGTCTCAAGTTTAAACTCGGACGCTTTGTACATGCTCTACTGTGTTGAGACTGCAATACACTGATATTTAAGGAACAGCGCTGAAATGTACCATCTAATACAGTTTTTTTGGGAGATTAATCTTAAAACTCATTGCCAGGGACATCCATCAGAAGTTTGGTTGAGAAAATATTTACGGAATGCCCGAGGCATTCCACAGATTAATTCCACAGATTAGCAGTAGTTAATGTCTGTGGATCCTGGGCCCCTTGAGGCTATGATGAAAGTCATGGCACCTTGAACCACAGGTATTCTGCCCTGGGTTCTGCAGACACATTCAGGTGGTCACAGATCTGCTGAGCCCACCATGGCCTCAGGCTGGGACCCTGCCCCAGACCAAAGAGAGCTGTGTCCCTGGACTATAGCATGTCACTCCTCCCACGGAACTGTTGTCTGTGAACCATGCTCTCGAGTAAGCAGAGCGGTGGGAGGCAGTACATGAAACAAGCTCTCACGGCATTACCCAGTACACTCTAGGAGGACTCCTGAGGGGTTTAGGAGAGTCTTTGTTTCAGTGGTAGTTTTTTTTTTTTCTTGAGCAACTGTTTCACTTTGATCGTATGCCCACCGCAAATCACCTAAGAGATTTTCTCTTAGGTGCTAAAAAGCCCAGTCAGATTACTTCCTCTAGTCATATTAATAGCCCACCTTTAGCAAGACATATACAAATGTTCCAGAAACAAGGAATGCTCTTCAATTCTTTTTATGAGTCTAGGAGAACCACACATATACACACAAATCTGCAGGCAAAAATCCTAAATAAAACATAAGCAAATCAAATATAGCAATGTATTTTAAAAAATCCACATGATTAAGTTAGATGTACCCCAAGAATGAAAGGAGAGTTGGACATTTAAAAATCTATTTCAGCACATACAGACTAAAAGAGAAAAACCATATGATCCTATTAGTAGACACAGAAAAGAGATTTTGGAAAAAAAAAATCCAATGCCTATTTCTTAATAAACTCTTAGCAAACTAGGAATTTAGAAGGCAGCTTTGATAATCCCAATATAAGGTACTGCCCCCAAACATCATGCTTGATGGTGAAATCTTAAAAGCCTTCCATTTGAAGTCACACCCAAGGCAAAGATGCCTGCTATCATTGTTTCTACCCAACTTTGTACAGGAGGACCTAGCCAGCAGAGTAACGTAAGTAAAAGAGAGAAAAACATCTAAGGGCTAGAAAGAAATAAAGAAACACAACTGTCACGATTCATAGGCAATATGACTATCTACATAGAAAAGGCAAGAGTTGACAAATTATTAGCACTAATAATTTATTCAGCAATTATCAGATTATCAGACCTATATCTAAAGATCTACCCATGTCCCTGTACACTATCAGTACTTAGAAAACATAATTTTAAAAATTACTATTTACAATAGAAACAAAAATTTAAGGTACCTAAGGAATAAATCTAACGACGTCAAAGAGCCCGATGAAGAAGACGATAAAATCTTTTTAAGGACATTAAAGAAGATTTACATGTGTAGGGAGATATCATGTTCACAGACAGAAAGAGTCAGCAGTGAAACACTGGCAACATTCCTCCTATTAATCTATGAGTCCATTCTAAAGTAAGCTCTGGTGCCCGTCAATATCCATACGGAGTTTTGAAGGAAACTGATAAACCGATGCTCAATCTACAGAAGAGCCAAAGGCCAAGAACAGCCAAGGCCGTTTTGAAGAACCCCATGGGGGTCTCACCGTACCAGACATGAGGACAAACGGTAAAGCTACAGTAATGAAGACAACACGATCCCGGTGCGGGCACATACAAGCGAGGACGTGAAGGCCCGCAGCTCAGCTGCTGGGTCACGAGTGTGCACTCGCCCACATCTTCCCTGCCTGTCCCTGAGGGCAGAGCCCTTTATAGGTCTCAGTGTTTGTTTCTGCCAAGTGCCTGGGGTGCTAACAAATGATTTCATTGTTTGTTTGCCCTGTACTGTATGTTCATTGTAGCCTAAAAAGGAAAAATGACACTGTTACCACACAGAAATGTACTCAACAAGGGGTTACTGTGGTAAATAATATGGTAATTGGTGTTTTAAATGCTTTATATCATGCAGAAATCCTTGGCGGATCATTATATGGGCATTTAAGAATATTTCAGAGATATTTGGGGAAAGAGGAAGACCAAATATGAGATGGATTGACTCCACAAAGGAAGCCAGAGACACGAGTCCACAGAAGTTGAGTAAGGCTGCTGAGGACAGAACATTGTGGACATCGCTCATCCACAGGGTCGAAGCCGACTTGATGGCACATAAAAAACTTAGGGAAAGGGAATGAGCTGAAAAAACATTTTTCCCATTTAAAATAATGGAAAATCGGTGCCTGCTATCCAAAAAAGAAACCATCCAATACATTTTTAGGAATAGATTATATTTGGAAAACAAGGGAAGCCTGGACACATTATTTAAAGAAACACATATATGTAATGAACTGTAAAAATTTGCATGGAAATAATAAATACTTTCAAATTAACTGGTGGTTACCTCTGGAGAGGAGAGGAGAGATAAAAGGATAAGGAAGTTTGTGACAACATGGATGGACATTGAGGGTATAATGCAAAGTGAAATAAGTCAGAGGGAGAAGGCCAAATACCGTATGATTCCCTTCATTAAGTAGTAGATAATAACAACAATAAACAAACACATAGGGACAGAGATTGGATTGGTGGTTACCAGAGGGGAAGGGGAGAGGGT